GTGCACCGGGGGCCCTCCACATTCATGATTTCTATCATTTTCCTAAGGTCCTCTATTTTTTCATCTGTATCTGCTTTAGAATCACTAAGCATATCTTTCATTATGGTCACCATCTCTATAGTTATCTGAGAAATTATTTCTGATTTGATATTTTCTAGAGCCTCATTCATTTTCTTTGTTACTTCTGCTGTTACCACTTCAGAGAGTCCAGGTGGGTGGCTTTCAGATTGTTCCACCACATTGCCACCTTGGTTTGCTTTGGTGAGCTAGAAGTCTGCAGTTACATCTTGTTTATGTGTCTTCTCATTTTCTTCTTTTTAAAGTTTAATTCCTGGGTTGATGCTTGCAAATTGCCAATAGTGAGTAGCTTTATTGCTAGTGTTTGGAACCCATAGGAAATGACTATTTCTGTTCTGCCCACTCAGTGCCAGTCGCACTCCTTCCCTCCCTTGGGTGTGACAACCAAAGTATCTCCAAACACTACCAAATGACCCTAGAGGGCAAAACCCGCCCTGGCTCAGACTCACTGATCCCCTGCAGCCTGATGAGGCATGGTGACCAGCTGACACCAGAAGTTCCAGATGAGGTAGCATAGCATCGACTCATGATTTTACAGATCAATCAATCAATCTATACATCTGAACAAAAATGTGACCCATAGGAGCCTGTGAATCTTATACAGAAAAAATTAGGTATCACCTTTCTCTCTTTGAAAACTTATTACAATGCAAGAGTAATAAGGTGACAGGGTACTTGCATAAGATTCCCACATAGATCAAGAAACTGGATCCAAGTGTGTACAATAAGCCCCAACAACATTGGTCATGTGCTCTCTGACAAGTGTGTCAGAATAACTTCATGGGGGAAGAAAACTCTTCATAACCAGTGAGAGCCAGTCCACACCATTTTGAGCCTGGTCAGCATCCCTACTGCATCCCCTGACACTGGCCACAAGTCCGCTCTTGACCTCCAGGGGGCGACATCAGGATACACAGTCAATACTCAGGAAAATAGTTCCTGGAGAGGGAATTTAGCTTAGACTTGGGAGCAGATGCTCCCTGATTTCCATCCCTGCCCCCAACAGAGCCTTCTGGGTGCCTCCCACATGCCTGCTCTGTCCCACCCACTCCTTCCTGGGACTGTGAGGCCGCTACCCAGCCAGGGTTCTCTGCTTCTCCTCTTTCCTGGCATCACCCTTGGGGTAAGGAAAGGAATGACCACAGCAGAGTCAGCAGGGCAGAGGACAAAGGCGGAGCAATTCAGTCAGGGAGGATATAGGTCACACCTCAACAGAGACAGGGTGGGAGGGGGCTGTCCCTGGAATCTGCCCACAAGGAAAATGTTGCCCAAAACCACTTACCTCCCCCCAGCACCCTCCTTCCTCCCCAGGACATGCAGGTCATATCCTTCCCTGCCCATCCAGGGCTTCCGCCTCTCCTGGGACATTTGATCAGAGACCATGCTGGTGACATCAGAGATACAAGGCAAGTCCCCCTCACTAATCATCACTCAGCTGGGCCCTTCTATGCCCTAGAGCCATCTCTGTCACCTTCCTCCTGGGAGTCAATTCTACCTTCCCAGAGCTCAGAAAACCCAGGGGAAGACTGAGTGCGCACCCAGGTTTCTATGTCAAATGGCCTAGATGTGGGAAGTCCAGGATCTCCCTGTGGTGTGGACAGCCCCAAGGTCAGGACGGTGAGGGCTGAGCAGGTCCTTCTCTTGGTGACAGAGTTGCCGATAGCCTTGTGCTCCACGTGTGGTCTGTTGTAGGGAAACAATACAGAGACAGGGGAAGAGATAGGGAAGGCAGGACCCAGAGGCAGGAGAGAGAGGAGGCTTCCGAACAGAGACTCCACCCCCAGGTCACATGACCCTGGGGCGTGCCCTTGCCCTGGGAGGAGGCTCAGCTCAGAGGGA